ATATGTGACCTGAATGTGATCACCTGTGTGAACTGCATTCATACAACTTAAGTGTCCCGTATGCACAATAGAGGATGCAAAGACATCACAAGCGAGCGTGCTCTGTGTTTACTTGGCTCACTTCAGGCTGTTGTGTGAATGTAGCCTATGTGTCCCCTCTGGCCTGGGACTGCCTTGGGCTTCACCCAGCAGAGCTGCAGGAGGTGTCCTGGGGGAGAGAAGTCTGGAAGTCTACTGAGATTGTTTCCTACTGTGATGCAGTCCCAATAAGCAGATAAGCAGAAGACAGGGATCTATGAGTAAAGCTTTGCTGTGTGTTGTATTTAATGATACAGTGTTTGTCCCACAATCATCCCAATAATACAAATTAACTGATCTCAATGTAAAAAAAAATCTTTAAAAGACTTGATTATGAGATTTTTTTTCAAATGATCTTATTGTTTTAATTAAGTTTCTTATTTAATTTTTGATAATTAATTGAGGAAAAATAAATATATTAGCTTCCAAAACTTATTATCAACCTGAACGTATCTATGTAAAGGAAAATAAATGTTACTTCAACTTTGCTCAAGATTTTTTTTGTAGGTATAATGAAAGGATTTTCCTTGATAAAGCAAGAGATCCTTAAAATATCTCTTTGATAAACATATGTTAGTTAACTTATTTTAAAAGTTAACAAAACCATTTGATATTTTGTGAACTAAAGTAGACTAACACAAACTTAACACAGCCTTACTATTTGATTTTTACCACTGATGTTAAAGTGGAGATAGTGAAGAAGTATCAAGTACCTTGATGTTCACTTGCAAACAGATTGGGCTGCAGAAGCCACTGACTTTGTCTTCAAGACTCTTTACGCTAAGGTAGCTCAGATCATTGAGTCTTTGTAGCAATATGCAAACGACCTAAAGACACTAATGAATATGATAAAAAAAAGGCCGGTTCTGCTCTTGCAAATCCTCTAGAACCTCTAGAAATAATTTTACAAAATATCTCCAGTTGAAGGCTTTCCAGATCCACTGTAACATAATCAATGCTAAAAGCCATCAACATGGCTATAATTACAACAACATTTGAATTATCTCTGGGATTAATATGGTGTTTTTGAAATTTATTTAATTGAGCTTTAAAATGCTAAAGTTGAGTGTAACAAGACCTCTCTTGTTTCTTGAATAGGTCCCTACAAAATCCTTTTTTTCTTTTCTTTTAACAAATGTTTAGGACATTGGGTTTAGTTGTTTATCAATCTGAGACTGTTCCCATTTAATCTATTCATGGTTAAGTGAAGGGGCAGTTAGTGGCCACCTACCAAGGTATTTTTTAGCTACAAACAATACCAAATAAAAATTTCTTAAGCTCCCGGCACATTGTTCGAATGTTTTACAGCATGTGTTGAAAATAAAATTTCAGCAAAATTAAAAAAATTGATCTATGGCTCAGATTTCCTCTTCTTTCTCTTATTTAATGGCGGCTGATGAACAACCTCAAGGTTTATTTCCGCCACCAACTGGTAATGAGTGTAACAGCTTCATAAGCAGTCGTAGATACAAATTTCAACATTTGTTATTCATACTGGTAAAAATGTAATTTGTGTTTTACTTATGATTCATACTTCAATGAAACATCTATGAAAGGATTCATAACAAGAAACAAATTAATCTTAAATTTACTCACATTTTTCGACTTACATTTACAAATTTAGACACCTACACACCATTTTTTATTGACAGTTATTATACCGTTTATCGCTCTTGCACGTCTTTAGCTTGTCCCAAATGATTCAGCTTTGCCGTTAAGCAGAGTTTCTTAAGGTTAACTCCATTTCATTGGTTTATCCTCACTTCACTTTAGATCGTCCTTACAACGAGTATGAAGGAGTAATTTTCAGGCATGGCTCCAACACTCTGGAATAGGACAGGCCTTTTAAAAACACTTTTTTTTAAAGCGTTTCATCCAATGAAGGTTAGAGCAATGTTGAAATTTGACCCTGATGTTGTTGTATTAATGTGTTTCTATGCCTATAATTTAAAGAGCAGCACTTGCAATCTATTTTTTTTTAAAACATGCTTTATAATTTAATTTACCTACATAACTTTAGTTCTCCTTTAACCAATTAATCAGGGGCAAAGAAAAATAAGTTTGTTTTGTTGTTGTTCAGACTTAACACAAGAAACTCAAAAATACCCATCCTTATTCTACTGTTTGAAAATGATTCTCATAAAACCAAATGCCTAAATATGTTTTTACTGTGTTCACTAAATAAACATCATTTTAATACAGTAAATAACAAGATATTTGGTCCCTATATAGAAAATAATGTAATTGTATCTGCTTTATGTGAAAGCATACATGAACAAATGATCAATAAATAGGATAGATTTGTTTCGTGGTTAAATCACAAAAGGAAATTGTCTTGTGAAACATTTGCATCCTATCGTTTTAATGTATCTCAATATGCTGGAAGCTTTCAATGGCTTTTCCATCTTTCTTTGCTTTTCCAAGCCACAAAAAGAAGAAAGTGTGATATCCTGAATCAATTAAGGACCACTTTCAGTGTACAGTTCTGTCCTTTCTAAATAAGTGTGGCTATATGGTTGCAAAGTCAAAAGAAAAGCTTTCAAAACAACCTTGGGAATGCTTTAACAGTGACATCAGATAATAAAATAACAGAAACATTAGGCATATACAAACATATTATACACAAATTCTGAAGTCTAAGGCAGCTAAGATCTTCTCGCTAAATATTTTTTCTTCCATAACAAATACACATAGTTGTTTTTGCAGTTTCTAAAGCATCCTGAGAGACTGCTACTTTAGAATGACGTGTGATAAATACCGGTAGTGGCCGGCTACTAAATTTATATTTATAACAATTTAATAGAAATATTCAATTAGGGTTTGGAACTGCAGAAATGGCCACATAAATTCAAAAGTAAAGACAGATCTTACACTACCTTTTCACATACCTAACCTTACCTTCTAAAATATAAATGTGCTGATATTCTATTGATTAGGACAAAACAAAAATTATAATCTAAACATGCATTTCTGGCTTCCTTTAACAAAACACTGACAAACAATAAACAATAATATCTCCAATTTAGACATCAGTTAATTAAATTGTACAAATTACAGCTCAAAAGGGCAATATTAATTTTAGGGCACCACCTTTTCTACTATTTTTTAAAAAGTTTGGAGCAAACAAAGAGTGGAATCTCAGACTATTTATCTAAGCAGAATCTCTCTATATAACTCTGATTCATCCCCTCATCAGCTCTCTTCTCTTTAGATTTAACCCACAGCTCTTTCTTATTGGATTAAGGTCTATGCCCTGGAAAGCCTACAAAAGAAGAATGATTATATTTCAGAAACAATATCTGAAATAATTTGGACATATTTGGGATCACTATACTGATAAAAGAAACGCCAAAACCAAAAGCATATGTCTCACTTTGGGGTACTCATCATTCAGCAAACTTAGGATGTTAAATTAAGAGGAAGAAAAGAAAAGTAGGGAAAAAATTCTCTGGTGATGTTACCCTAATGTTCATGAGCTCTTCTCTGGGGAAATACGTCCAGGTATCTTCTCAAAAACAAGAGTTAAACTGTAAAGACAATTAGCTTAACTTAGCCATATTGAAATATGGAAAATCATCAGACAGATGCTGGTAGAGACACAGTGGATAGATCTTCTGAAAGGCAGGATTTTCCCCGACAACTCTACCTTCTGGGTGTTTTTTTATTGTTATTTTTTTTTAATCATAAATCACTCATTTCCTATTACTGTTTGGAATGCAGTCACTGAATTTTTCGGGGAATCATCCATTACAAACCTTTAGTCAAATCCGATAATAAAATGCGCTCTCTCTAACTCTCTCTCTCTAAACAAAAAAAAAATGCATTACACTAATAAACTGAGCTATTTCTGTTTGTTTAGTTTGACAGTTAAGCACAAATTACATTTTTGTTTGATTATTTTAAAAAAAGAAAATGAATGCTGACAGTGTGTTTTACTGCCTGTAAGGTGAAGGAAATAAACGTTGCAAGTTCTCCCCACAACAAAGAACCCTGTGTCGGATTCCTCCTCTGCACGGAACACATCCCACCTGTAGAAAACACAACGCAGAGTCCATAGGGTGTCTTCCACCAGCTGCAGGTTAAAAAGGTGGGTTACATACAGTATATATACATATATGTATATATATAAAATGTTGGAAATAGTTGTGACATCTAATGTCGCATCTACCTTGGTTGAAATTATTATTCTCTAAGTATTCAAAAGAAAGGACTTATTTTACTAAACATTTCACAGTGACAATATGCCACGACAGTAAATGATAAATTCTATGTAAGACTTCTTACACAACTTTACCAGTGCCAATGAATGTAGAAGAGGTTGATTACTGGGGAATTTATTCAGCGAAAAAACAGAAAACAAAAAAAAACATAAAGGATGGGCTTAGTAATATACTTTTTTTCAAAGCTTTGCTTCAAAATACAGTTTATTTCCTTTAATATTTTCTATATAGACAAAATATCTATTTTATTTGTACTGTGTTTTATGACTGAAGATCCAGATGAATGAAGATCTCTTACCAACTATTCATTATAAATCGTTTATATTTCCCACAAAATGCGTCATTTATATACATTGTTATTTAGTAGCACCATAGTACATATGCACAACAAAAGTTTTTAAAAAATCCTTTGGAAAAACAGCTACTTATTTTGTCGAAACAATAACCAAACCAGGTCAAAAATAAAACACTTCGGCCAGAATGGTTTATGAAATCTACTGGGGTTTGGATCATATTGCGTAATCATCACTGGATGTGCATGGATCACAATCCATCCATCCATCCATCCATCCATCCATCCATCCATCCATCCATCCATCCATCCATCCATCCATCCATCCATCCATCCATCCATCCATCCATCCATCCATCCATCCATCCATCCAGCCGCAGCATATTCCCAGCAATCTATGGGCGAGAGGTGTGGTACACCCTGGACAGGCCGCCAGTCTGTCCCAGTAATTCAGTTCAATTCAAAAATACTTTATTTATCTGAAAGGGAAATTAAATGCTGCAGTAACTCATGAGCAGTTTTTCAAAAAGTTTTTACAGATGGTGACAGCTGTAGGAAGGAAGCATCTTCTGTTGCGGTCTGTCATGCATTGGATCTGGAGATGCCTCCTACTGAAGACAATCTGTAACTTTTTATCAGTCTTCTGAAGAGCATGCTCACTGTTGTCCATAATGTTCTTCACTTTAGGAAGAATAATCTCCAGAGGTTCTAAAGGAGTTCTTAGAAAAGAGCCGACCTTCTTATTTAGCTTATTGAGATTTTTTTTTCTTTCCACAACAGACCTGTAGAAGATACACAACATCTTGCTGAAAACACTGAAGTTTTCTTAAGAAGCACAGTCTGCTCTGTCCCTTCTTGTAGACGACTTCACTGCTGCGTATCCTGTTGAGTTTTTTATTCAGGTGAAATGCAAGGTATTTTTACTCCTCCTCCACCTCCTCTTTTCCTATGATGTTAATAGGATTTGTCTTGTTTTTATTTCTTCTTAATTACTTATTAATGCGATAATACGCTGGCAGGTACTTCCTCCCCTCTGACCAAATGTTTATTTGGTTTATCATTAAAACTGATATTTCAGGTTTCACTCCTTCACAGAACATATCATTGATCTTTACATTATAACTTTCCTTTTATCAGTATCAGTATCAGTCTTTTTCTGTCCTTCCATCATAGTTAGGATTGTCAAAAGGAAGGAAAGAATAAATAGCAAAGAAAACAGAAAATGAAGAATCCAACGACCCAGTTGACAGAGTAGATATAGATTATGACCATGTCCATGTCAAAACGCCAGCTTCTAGGCTCATCCTCAAAGTCAAGGGCATCAAGTGGGAATCCTCCTCCGTGGGGGAACTGGCGTCTCACAATTGGGTTTGACTGCCTCTGGAAACCTTATTAAGAAAATTCAATTAATATATATTCATTTGTAAACACTTTACATGTGATTTACACGACTTTATTTTGTATTCAGTAAGAACTTTTTGTTAATTTTTAGGGTACAGTACAATGATGTAATAGAATTTTTTAATTTATGACAACTTGTTTTTGTTAAAAGTAAGATAATCTAACTCAACATCTGAAAGTATTTTTAGTTCTATAGATAATTAAACTTTGAAAAATAAACATTTCTGTGCTTCTAAGTATGTAATAAAGCCATATATACAAAATTTCAATTTCAACGCTTGTCAGAGAAATCGTTGATAATTCTGCTCTCAGAGCAGCAGCCCCTCCCTGGCCTTAAAATTAGTAAACCGTTGTACATAGGAGAGTGATCACAGGCTCTCCAGGAAACACCTAGTAAATAACACACACAGTTTTTCCAATCAGCAAATGGTGATGTGAGGCAGAGCATGATCATTTCCGCTCAACACTGAGATGAGGTGGAGAAGGTACTGACAAAAATCAATCAAAAAGATTCTTGGTGAATTAAAAAGATTCAACGAGAAGTACAATAATTTGAGATTAACAAGCTTAGTCCCACCATGCTTACCTAACAGGTTCATTTCCCATTTTAACCAAGTCTGACTCTAAGCTCTGCACCCTCTCTAGGGTGCTTAATGGTTCATGGGAGTTTGTTAAAATAGTTGACATGTGTTTTGTTGACCCGGAGAAGACATTTGTCTGTGTCTCTCATAATGGCTGTCGGGGTTGGCCAGGTGCATGGAGTCGGGCGCCCTTTTCCTAGGGGCCATCTGATCCCTCTACATGCATGCATCGGACCTGTCCCTGGTGCATTTTGGACTTCGACAGAGCTGCCCTCTCTTGCTGGTCCTCTTCATAATCTTTATGGAAAGTATTTCTAGGTGCACCCAAAGGCCAATTTGGGTTTGGTTTGGGTGCATTGGATTTTATGGTGCAATATCACCACTCACTAGGTTGGTGTGAGCGAACTTGCTCGAACTTGCTTCTAGGCCGAAAGTTATGCTAGTATCCTTTCCTAAAGTATTGTGGTACATTTATGGACACAAGAGCACATATGTGGTATACTAGCCTTTATGCATCTTCATGTTGCAGTGGTTCTAGGACAATGTCATGAAATTGGCGGCCACCCAGACAAAGAGGGTTGGGGTTACAGTGAGGAAAATTGTCTTTCTTTCAAGTAAAAAAAAAATAGCAAACTAACTCAACTAATATTTCATAAAAGAGTACTCCATAGAGCCAAAAGCAATATTTCATGATATGCTGTTAATACTTAGTTAACTTAAAAAGGCTTTATAACACAGGATATAGAACTTTTAAAACCTTACAATACATTAAATGTACCATGTTAGATTTGATATACTACTATATCCCACTTAAAAAATGAGAAACAAACTTGCCTCGAAAGATTTGGAAGAGCCTCCTACAGCTTGGGAGGGGCCACTTTGAGCAAGGTGCTCTCTGAAAGTTCTGCTTCCTGGAAAGGTAATCCTTTGGGAAGAATGTCTTTGCTGTTTGGTTCAGGTCTAAATTAGGCATAAAAACATATTAATGTTATCAATTATCTAATAAGTAGCTAATTTTGTTTACTGTCTGACTTTAACATAAGCCAAAAATTGATTTTTCTGTGTCCTTCAGTTTGACATTGGCGTTCGATGTGCAGAAAATTATGTGTTGTTGTCATCGAATCATTAAAAAGAGCCCCTAGTGTTTCTGCAGTCCCCAACAGTCATCCTGTCCATGTTGCCCATGATCTGTATCCAAAAGTAGACCACTCTGAGTCATAAGAATCTATTAATTATTCATATTTCTGTCCGAATCATATTATATTGGATGAAATCTCTGTATCTTAGCCTGAGATGTCATCTAATGGTTTGGCAAGTAAAAAGAATAAGTGCAATACTTTGAAAAAGTATTTATACCCCCTTAGCTTTTACAGATTTCGACACATTATGATCAAAACCTTTGGTTAATTTCATTTAGATTTTTTTATATACCCAGAAATAGTAGTTATAAAACAATTTTGGAAAATAAATATAAATAAAATGTGTAAAGTATAACATGCATATGTGTTAAGACCCATTTACCTACACACGAATAATGAAATCTAGTCAGTTCAATTAACGTCAGAAGTCACCAATATAAAAGTTTGTAATGAATTCTATTATACAGTATACTATGTTGATTGTTTAATCATCATTAAATGCAAATTGCATGAACAACAGGTCAGAAAAACATTGTGTACAAGTCTGAGCTAGGTTACTAATAAAAACATATTTAGCATGTAAGTAATTTTTAAACCAATGTTCTTTTATGTTTTTAATTGAAAACACAAATATTTACAAAATATTTAGCATCTCTATCATATTGTTAATTAACAGTTAACTAACTGTTAATTAAATGTAATTAATACATGTTTGTAAACTGTATGTACATCAATATTTTTGATGCAGTGCTTTATTTTATAAATAATTCCAAATTGTTTCCATACTTTGACTTTTGATCACCTACTTACCCTTTTGAAAAAAGACATGAGTGATGATGGTTCTGCAGAGAGGACAGGGGGTATTTGTGGGGCTATTCTTTGCAAGTGTCCTCAAACAGGGCTCACAGAAGATGTGGTTGCATGGGAGGCACATGTAAGGATTGAAGTACACATCCAAGCATACAGCACAGACCAAACCCTCTTTGTTTCTCATGCTCAGTGCTTCTTCATCCTCAGTGCTGCTGCTGGTGCTGGGGGTGGCTTGTGAACTCTTGAATAAAGTGAGAAAGTAAAAAAAAAAAAAAAGATTTCACAGAAGTTTGAGAATTAAGTCAGCATCCAAGCATATGTAAGCAAACGTCTTTTTATGTGTGACAGTAGCCTGCTGCTCTTGCAAATGCGTAAATATTTAAACATACATGTGCTTGTTTTGAATCTTATGTAGTTTTGAATTTTTTTATTTCGCCTCAACACTTGATTGCCATACATTTTTAACTGAACTATGTATTGGTCTCTTTTCTACAGTGTGATATTCACAGGTAGTTTCATATGCCCTTTATACTCTATAAAATGCACCAGTGAAATCAATTCTGAGTGGCTATAAAATAGTAGTGACTAAGAAACTGAAACTTCTTGTAATAAGACTTCTTCACTAGTATTGTAGAAATGTACAATTTGTAAATTGAACTTGTCATTGGAAGTGCAGAGATGTATGAGTAAAATAGGAAAATTTAAAGAAAATCAAACATTTCAAGGATCGAATGCATTCTCTCTAATTAAGATATGACTACATTTATTAAAGGCTAAGTCATATCAAACCTACATGGTTGTAAATGTCTTTAATATGAGTGTTCTTGTCCAGACAGACGTCTGACTGGACCCAAAATACAACATAAAATGAACTGTTCAGTATATGACTAATTTTGGTTACAAACATAATTTTTATTTGTTATTAAATATGTGAATATTGCTTGCCTAAATCTAGTTTTCTGAACTTTGTTCAGCTTTCTGTAATTGCAAACATAGAGTACATTTCCATTACAAGATAGTGTTACACTAGATGCTATTAAATATTTCAGAACATTTTGACACCGCCTTGTGTTTGTCCTTTTCTTTTTATTGCCCCTAGATGAGCGTTAAATTTTCTAATTAAATGATACGGGTGAGCACAAGAATCATCTGTTGTTTTAAGGGGATAAATTTATTGTCTGCATTTTTAAAATCTTATTGTAAAGGACTACCCCAACCCTTCAATGTGCATAGATTTTTGGGGCCATCTATTTGTGCCAATAATAAGGATTCCTTCTATTAACAGATGGTCAGATCTTTCAAAAACATAGTATGAACTCATAGCTGCTCTTGCAGTTCTCTTTACAGTTTATGTCTTTCAGTTCCAACTCCAACAGCAATTTAGACAAATAACCTGTGCTGTAAAAACAAAACAAAACAAAAATAAAAACAATAAATTGTCCCAAAATAGACAGTTAAGTCAAACAATGAAATATCGAGCATGTACTTAAATAATGGAAATAAAAACTTAGCTGAAACCTGATAGAAAAAGAAAGGACATTTAAAATTTAATGCTTACGTTAAAAAAAGATGTTAATGTATGTAACTACATGCAAAAGCTCTAATTAAAAACATAAAATACCTCTACACACACATGAATATTTATGTGACATTTTTCTTCGAAAATACCTTTTGCAAAGGTAATTGAAGTACTGTAAATTATTTGAAAAAATACTGACTTTTGTTTGAATTTGGTTTACGGAACACAGAAAATATGCAAGCAAGGTATTTATTCTGGGAGAAAAAATATCTGTGAATGAACTCATCAGTTTATTACGTATACACTGCTGCACCAAAGTAGCCAAGTTTCATAAAAACCAAGGGGCCATACCAGACAATATTGCTTAAAGAAACTCATGGTAGGTACCATCAAACGTTTTCCTCAAGCCAATTCGGGAACAAGGGAAACACATTAAAGAAACTGCTTTGATGAGATGACACAAAACATGTTTTTAAGCAACCTACTGTGCATGCAGGAAGACTAACAAGTACTTGTTACTTGTTAACTAAAACAACTAAAGCATAAAAAAATGAAAATAAATATTCACAATGATGTTGCAGCACTATGATGTTGGAATGTTTTTCTTTTTCAAACCTTCTCAAAATGGGATTAAATAGATCCAAATACAGAGCCGTGAGACTCACAAATGTTTTCCTTTAAGCATAACTCTTACTGTACATTAAACTTGCAGCAACAGCTACGACAGAAGCTTATGACCTAAGAGCTGCAAAGTTACAAGATGCAACACATAATTTTTTTAAAACATACAGTAGGATATTCATTTTACATTTCTTTACTTACTGACAGTATACATATATATATATATATATATATATATATATATATATATATATATATATATGCTGCAGCACAACAAAGATTCCCACACTAAATCTCATAATCTTTCATCCTGAAATACTAAGTTCTCAGTTTTTCTAAGTGTCTTTGTCCCTGAGATTCCACTCATTATATCCCAGTTAGATCTCATGTAAAAGAATTTACCTCTGTCCCCACATCCTTCATACAGATGTTTCGGCTGCCGCCTCAAAGGGGTTCATGTCTAGAGCTTTAGAGTTAAGAAAGCCTACAAGTGTTTCCGCTGTAATTACCGCTTTATCACCTGGAGGGGCCCAGGGACTACCTTATACTGTAGCAGTAAGTTTGTCTCTCAAGGTGTGTCATTAACACACTGAGAGGGGCAGATTCAGAGCGCCCAAAGCTCTTAAGAAATTATGGAAACAGGCTTTCCCCTGGTATCACGAAATGTAACATAGCAATGTTTTGTTCACTACAGGTTGTTCATACTAACAAAAGAGATTTTATAACATTTAGGTAAACCAAAAAGTCAAACTTCTCTATAAACTATATATCATAGTGAGTACATTAAATTGTTTATCAAAAATTATTATTGTGAAGGTATGTTTGTACGTCAAAAGTAGATCTTCAAGTAAGTTGCAAAGTGATAGCATTTGCAAATAAGCATACAGTGTGGGGAAATTATTTTTTTGCATGATACAGTTGGCCAGAATTGTTTTACTGTATATTGTGTCAACGCTGCTATTGAGAGGAGCGGGTGGAGATAATCCACATATTTAGAGCATAATCTGCTCTTATGTCAATCAGCAGACAAAAACAACTTCCCATGTTTTATGGTATGTTATAATTTTATATTTAACATGACTTATTTTAATAACCTTTTTTACATACTGTGAATCTCCTCTTTGTTTCACAGCCACTCTCATACTGCCTGTAGAACATGCAATCTGCTCATTTAAATGAGCGAAAACAAATCGATTTGCATATCATCAAATTTGTGCAGCAATCTGTGTAGAGTACCCATAACACACCCACTTATTGCAAATACAAACAAAATTCCACTTATCTATATATTCTTATTTGTATACACTGTATGATTTTAAAAAAAGTATTCTGTATTAATATGGGCCTAATAAAAAAAAAGTATTCTTGAGCTAAACTAAGTCTGTATCAATCAGAGTGTCTCCTGAAGGTCTGCTGATTTGATGGGTGACCTGACCAATGTAATACTTTGGATCTTTTGGTTGCTTCTTGTATTTCAAGTCATCCATGATCTAAATGAAGCCGGGATTCATCGGTTTATTTTAAGCAAAGCCTTGTTGGGTTTACTGCTATTAATATAAACCATTTAATTAATCAACCAAGAACAACTAGCCTTTGTTTACATTATCTCTGGCAAACATTGATTTAGAAAGACTTCATAATATCCCTGGAGAACAAAGGTTTACTTCTTCCGTATTTGTATAACAGATAGATTTGTAGAGTAATTTTCTGATTTTACAGACTGTGTAATAAAGAAGAACTTGCTGTAGGTCCTGTAATGACAGTTTGGGGTTTCTGATACTACTTTTGGACTCCTGCAGTGTGCTTTCAGGGTGGACTGGATTTCAGGTCTTAGCATGATGGTAACTGTTTTGAATGTTCTCAAAATGTCAAATTGTCAACTTTAGAAGTGGAATGGTGGATTTCAATATCTTTATCAGACTGGTGAGCAGCTACAATCTTTGCCTAGACAGCTAATCAAACTCAGTGCAGGGTTCACTGTAAGATCAGCAGTCAAAAACATATGGAGCCCAATATCTGAGGTATAAACAAGACAAACTGGTTGTTTTGATTTACTCCTCTCCAGAAGTTTATAAAATATAAAAAAAATAAACAAAAATTTTAAATTTAAATTAAATATTCAAATGTCCTCAAACTAAAGTGAGATGCTTTTGAATAAATTATTCTGCAATAGATAATACCACCGTTTTATAGTTATTTCTTTTATACGACATTTTTCAAAGGGTGTCAAAACATCTAAAACAATATGATTTGTGATTCAGATCCTATCAAAGTCATTTCAAAAGTTTCTGGACTCAACTTACCCTGTTAGAGTTCCTGTAACAGCAGTAAAAATGATTTTAGTCTGGCGATAAGACTTCAGATTGGCAGCAAAGCAAAACTGAAACAGCTACATCTCTGGCCAATTTTGAAGGGCTCTTTGCCCATGCCTCATCATGCAGCTAATTCAGACGTAACCCCACTTTAAACCATGCAAACACAATGGCTATTGAAATGAGCTAGGTGCAGACATGGTGGTTTAGTGGTGGGAGTCTGGCTGCACTGAAGTTACACGGCCTGACACAGACACAGCAGAGCCATGAAAAGCTCTAAAAATAATGATGGAAATGAAAGCAAAGTGGTTTTAATTGCTCTTCTGTGCACTATAAGCCCACACAACTCTTGTCTTGTTTTGGTCATAGACTTTCATCTTGCATATAGATACATTTGACTAGCTCTAAAGTAATCTAAAGCTGGATTAGCCCTACAACATGAAAATGTAAATGTATTGAATTAAACTTGACTTCAAAAATTGTCCCATTTATAAAGTCGGAAATTTGACAAGACTCCTATTTCCTCATTTGCCAAGATGTGTCTAGTCCATATAACCTGGGAGAGACATCTTTGTTATCTCCAATATTCAGTTTTTTTTAAGTTGATTATATGACATTAATGATATTGCTTCAATGTAGCATCAATTGGACCGCAGGGGAAAAAAGAAACTGAATATGTGATTTTTCTTTTATTCTTTTTGTGTATAAAGAACATAAACTTACTGTCGGAACATTTGATAAGAGACCACAGGGGAATTTACCTGGCTGCTCTCCTGCTGCTGACTCTGTTTCCATCTCTCTCTCCTCCTCTGTCTTCTTCTCAGACTTTTAATCCGGCTCTTCTCTCGTTTACTAATCCTCCTCTCTTCTGAAGGGATACAAGGTGGCGACTCTGTCGAATACATTCCTCGACCAGTCACTTCGACCACACCGCTTCCTTCTTCCTCTCCTTCTTCAATGGTGTCCTCATTCCCATCCTCGTCTCCTTCGTTTTCTGAATCTGAGATGTGTGTCTGACTTGAATAGCCTTGCAATGTTTGTTCTGAGCCTGCCCCTCTTTTCACTTCTGCCAAGAAAGAGTCTGAATCTCTTGATGAAGAGGCCCGTGATGACAAAGGAGCAAATCTGCGTAGATCGCCAGGTCGACCACACTGAAAGTGTAAATCGCTTGTTTCAGTCTGGGTAAAGCCAACAGTTTGTGATTTAGAACATGTATGCTTGCTCTCTAAGTTGTTTGATGATTCTTCAGTTTTTAAAATGCTGTTTAACTGCATATTAGTGGAAAAGCTTTCAAAGGTTCCTTTTCTTGTTGCGTCTTGGGCTTGATCTGCACACAATTTTTTCATCCTTCTTGGATGGTCTTGACCTCTCTCTTTACCTCTAATGTGCCTCTCCTCTTTTCTTTCTTGGTTTCTTTCCCCTCTTCTTCCTTGTTTTTCCTCAGGGCAGGTCTTTCTGTGTGCTTTTCTCAATGGCAGGGCAGGTGTGACCAGGTGCTCTTCAGTGAGGTGATCTGCGGCCCTCAGCAAAGGTCTCATTTCCTTCATCCATCGATTGTGAATCTCATTGCTGCCATGTCCTTCACTGGGATCTTCATTTCTATTACCTTTGTTTGTAGTAGTGCCACCAATGACTGAGGTTCCCATGTGGGCACTCATCTTGAAGTTCTACAGCGTGCCGGGTTTAGCAGAGCACATTAGGTTGACTTTTATTCAGCTAAACAGGTCTTACCTCTTCTCATACGTCACTTAGTCTTTCTTCTTCTTTCGACTTCTTCATTTACTTTTAAGTATTGCATTTATGAGTTACAGGGTGCTTTAGTTCAGGGCATTTAAGCACTGCAGCTCTCTGGTTTGGCATGCCCTGCCCTTCTGAGCCCCCTGGGTTATTCTACACTGTGGACAAAGACAAAGTCCCTGTGTTGAGCCCCATTACAATAGGTGTTCTGTACACAGCCTCACTATAGTGCTGTTCAACCTATAGAAAGCTCGCCATTATAGACCAACAAAACTCACAAAAATGAGGTGAAAAAGCCAGAGCAACATTTTGTTTTCTAAAGTTAAATAGCATTGGGTCAGCTTTTCTATATTTGATAGCTTGCAAAAGTATTTACACCCATTGAACTTTTATGAATTTTCTCAAGTTAAAGTCATACATTTTTATATTTTATTGCTCGGTCATCCATAAACATAAATTTTCCAATTCTGACACACATTTTTGATCTGACTCTGACTGGGCTATTAAAACATTCGAATAACCTTTGGTCTAAACCTTTTCATTGCTCTTCTGGCTAAATGTCCATAATCTATATATCCTGCTTGAGCATGCCTCAGTCTCGTTTTTTTCCTCCTAGGATTGCCTTGTGTTTACCTCCAGCCATCTCCCTATCAATTCCTACAAGCTTCATCATATATAGCACCAAGCTACCACCATTTGTGATGGGAGTCATGTTTTCAGGTTATATGTAGTGTTCAGAAACACCCCCAGGATTAGAGCAGAGCACTGGGTACCTGTATGATTGATGCTTTCCTCGCTCAGCCTCTCAGTTAAGGTGGATATCCATTTACTCTGTGAGGTTTTCATTATAACATAATATATCACAAACTAACCTTACTTTAAACTTGACCTGTTTTTTACTGGAACTGGGGGTTATTTATTCTTCAAAGCCACGTGTCTCCTTTCTTCCATGCCACAATTCTGTTCTACTAAGTTGTTTTCAGACAAATGTTAAATTTTATGGTTGTAAGGTATCAAAATGAAAAAAGCTCTAAAGGGTTTTAATGGTTTGGCAAAAAAAAAAAAAATACATTTTCAAAGGTAAATTGTTAATAATTTTATAATCTGAACGTCATTAAAAAAAATAATTGGAATATGCCTGATATCTGTCTTATCTTTTTAAAAAAGCTTTTTCAAAAAGCTAGTGAAAATGAAAAATCCAAAAAGACCATCAGGAAAGGTAACAGCTAAGCTAGAAAGCCTATGAAAAAATAAGCTTTCTAGCTTTCTTTTTTATTTCTTTATTTCTTTTTTATTCAAAAAAAGGGGGACAAAAATTAAAATAATGATCTGTGTGTTTATTTTTCAGAAAATCAATTTTCAACATAAAATTTAGGTCGCAGCATTACCAGAACATATCGAAAGAAAAAAAAAAAGATGACTGTAGATCGAGCCTTCATCTAACGATCGCACAGCAATCGTGATAATATATGAAGTGGGCAGCAGATGGCAGCAGTGTTACTATGTGACTCACAGAAGGAGCTGTTCTTGGTCCTGAATTACCGTCTCCATTTATCCGCGTATAGTGAATTTGGACTTCTTGTTCTTCTAGGTTGAAAATTCATTTCAGGACTTACGAATTTCATGCTGAGCATTAAAAACCCCATCTGCTTAAATCTGAATTAAAAAAAGACATTGATCAGTAAATTAGATACTTCTGAATTTGTTGAGTGGAGTTAATTAAGACCAATTTTTAAGCAGGAGTCCTGTTATCACAATTTTAATATAAATAATAATGATAATAAAAATAAAGGGTAAGATAAAGCCCAGCGAAATGAAAGTATCTTCCTCGTGTCAGTAGCCAAAAGTGAAGCATTGGGGAAAGCACAGCAGCAGAAAACTCCAGGGTGAACTCCTCCCGGTCTGACGTACCAAGAGCAGTTGGTATAAATGAATTCACGGACTCATCAAGCTCAGATGATTTGCTGCGCGTCTGGCTTTCCACACACATGGGCTGACCCCTACACACACAAATACATACACATACGCACACACATGCACACACGCACACGCTCATGCATACTCACAAACACTGTGTCATGCGTCCTGAGAGCGACAGCAGGAACTCCGATGGACCCCATAAAACGCACGGCGGCAGCGGTGTAAGCGCCTTCTCCTATTTTTTACACTTACACATCCTCAGCTGCTGAAGAAAAGTTGCACTTTCAGTGCAGCGAAATGGATTTTCTAACAAGCGGCAACGACAGCAACGCCACCGGCGGTTATCCAGAAGGAATTGAAGTGGTCGCCGACTGGATCGGGGGAAACAACGCCACGGGGTCTTGGTTTCCGCCCGATCTCGTACTGGCTTATCAGATAATCACCTCTCTGCTCCTAGGGGCCCTCATCCTCTGCTCCATATTTGGTAACGCGTGCGTCGTGGCGGCCATCGCTCTGGAGCGATCTCTCCAGAATGTGGCAAATTACCTGATTGGATCTTTGGCTGTTACAGACTTGATGGTATCGGTCTTAGTTCTACCCATGGCCGCCCTCTATCAGGTTCTAAATAAGTGGACTTTAGGGCAGGAGATATGTGACTTATTCATTTCTTTGGATGTGTTGTGCTGCACATCTTCCATCCTGCATCTGTGCGCAATCGCGTTGGACAGGTATTGGGCCATAACAGACCCTATTGATTATGTGAATAAACGGACACCAAAGCGAGCTGCGCTCCTGATTTCCGCGACCTGGCTGATCGGGTTTTCTATCTCCATCCCACCTATGTTGGGATGGAGGAGCGCGGAGGACAGGGCGAACCCAAACGCGTGTATGATCAGCCAGGACCCGGGCTACACCATCTACTCCACCTTCGGGGCTTTTTATATACCCCTCATTCTTATGCTGGTCTTATATGGCCGAATATTCAGGGCTGCTCGCTTTCGGATTCGTAAGACAGTTAAGAAAACCGAGACAGCAAAAGTTTCAGACAAGTGTCTGGCCGTGTCTCCAGCAATATTCCACAAGAAAAGTCATGGGGAGACGCGCAACAAAGGCTGGAAGCGCTGCGACGAGTCCAAATGCAGCTCTCCATGCGTAAATGGCGCGGTGAAGCACGGAGACGAGGGTGAGTCGCTGGAGATTATAGAAGTTATCAGCAACTCCAAGACGCACCTGCCTCTGCCCAACACCCCTCAGTCCTCCTCTCATGGATATGAGAACATGAACGAGAGGAACTCGGGAGCAAAGCGGAAGCTTGCGCTCTCCAGGGAGCGCAAAACAGTGAAGACGCTGGGGATCATTATGGGGACGTTCATTGTGTGCTGGCTGCCGTTTTTCATCGTTGCGCTGGTCCTGCCTTTCTGTGCAGAGAGCTGCTACATGCCCGACTGGCTCGGTGCCGTGATCAACTGGCTGGGCTACTCTAACTCCCTCCTAAACCCAATTATATATGCTTACTTTAACAAAGACTTCCAAAATGCATTCAAGAAGATCATAAAGTGCAAATTCCATAGACCATGAGTGCACAGATGCTGGTTCTACTTCTATGTAATTTGGTGCAGCACAAAAAAAAACGTATAAAACTGTAATGAGCATCAAAAACAAACCAACAGATTTTTTTTATACAGGTAAAGAATGTTTAAGGAGGATGATGTATAAATAAAGCAGATCACTATGCTGAAATATTCCTTCTCAATGTACAAGCTCATGTCTCTTCAGTGTTGTAGTTATGTAGCCCCCAGAATAGGAAGACAACCATTGCTGTATTGTCATGCAGGACATGTCTATTGCTAATTCCATGCATTTTTATCATGAGGCACAAGGGGCTTCTTACCCCAAGTAACATACTTTGTAGCATTTAAAACAAATAAAAGCAATCAGTTTGTCATCAAGAATTCTTGAGTCAATTTATGTCCAGTGGTGCCATTAAGGTGAGTAGTGGTGTAGGAGCAAAAAGGTGACAGAAGAAAAGTAGCGATTCCCACAAGTTTGCTGTAACACCCCTCTCAAAATGTTCACAAAATATCTATGGATATGACTTTAAAACATAATAAAGTATTTCAATTATATGCTTAATTTCTTTACTTTTAATCTATTTCAAATTATGTCCATTTTATGTCCAAAGAGTATTATTTTTTAACGTTGCATTGGACACTGTTCTGTTATGGTTTTCTGTTTTGGGTGTGCAACTCATTAAGGGTCAGAGTGAGGCTACCCCATAGAAAAAGTTTTTGAAAGCACATCTGCCTTTATGTTCATGAAATTATAAGCAGGGTTTTTCACCTGAGCTGTAATAGCACACATCTTTCCAAAATATGAGATTATAAGAAATTAATAATCAGTTTAGAGCCTACTTAAGGCACAAAATATCTAGTGAAGGCACATCGAGGGCAGCAGAGAAACAGAAAACAAAGTAAATGTTTTTGTGTGCAGAGATAAATAGATGTGCATTACTGTAAGTAGCCTGCCAACAAATCTGACTTGCCTGCTCTTACAATAGCAATGTGTACTAACTTATTTGGGAATTGAGCAAATTGAAAATTTTATTAATGTTACATGACCTAAAAAAAAGGACAGGTTTAGTCAGATTTAATGACAGAAAATAATGTATGCAAATATCTAGTTTCTTTTTCATATTCTAAATCTTTGTATGTTTTTGACTTTGTCCTTCTTAATCCTATCTCAATGAATCTCACATCTATCCAAAAACTAAGAGAAGAAAGTAGGATGATATTTAAGTATTTGGCATTAGTTACTCTTTAAATCTTTTTTTTTACACTTAAAAATTTTCTAATATTTATCAGAAATATAATAAATACTTGTAAACATTTCAACATGAAATACAAAAATAACAAGAAGTCTCCCCACAGTAACTTTGTTCATCTCTTACATAAACCAATACACAAATCCACTTACACGAGACAACAAGATAAGGGACTGTCACAGGAAAAAGGAAAAAAAAAAAACCTTCAGGAAGAAGTCCCAGTGAGTCATGTATGTTGCAAAAGATGGGTGACTATTTCAGCTGTTGTTGTGGCAACACATCAAGGCAGGGCTAGTAGTGGATCTATTGCAGTGGAGTGATGGACAACCTAGATGTGGAGGACAGACAAGGATATGACAAATATCACATCAAGTGAAGATGTAGAGGTATCAAATGCTAAGCAGAAAAGCCCCCAATCATTTTTGAAAGATGTGAGTTGTATTAATCCATTTTAAAATTTATACTTGGGGCTTGCATGAATAATTCTTAAGAATATATTGACATACTTCCAAACTTCTCTTTCAGTTTCACCTCCTAAAGTATACAATCATTAGAAAATGTGTTCAGAATATATTGCTTTATGTTGAAGTTGCAAACAGTTAATATCACCAAATGTAGTGTACTCAGTGATAATGATTGTTCTTTGAACAGCCATCGTGCATGGGAGGCCTGTTACAAGTGGATCAATGAATGATTCATGTACTTATTGTATTAAACTGTAGTGAGTATGAATTGTCAATCATGGCACACATCCCCCAATAGGAAAGAGCATGTGCTAAACCTGTTTTAAAAACGAGAAAAAAGACAAAATGATAAGCATTTACCTTGGTGTAGTAATGTTGATTTTGAAAGGTTGGAGTAGTTACAGTAAAATAAGAATCCCCTCCAGTAAACAGGGCAATTAAAATGATCATTAACGTGTGTATTTTCTCATTACTCATCAAAATATATGGGTCTTGTTGTTTTTTTAAATAAATATGGCAGTGCTGCAGTGCCACCTTGCACAATGAAGCTTTCCTGGTGATCTGGAGTTTTACTGTCATGTGGTCTACAGGAACTCAGCTTGAATTTTTGTCCACAGTCCAAAGACATGCTTATATTCTAATTTGTGAATTTTGAATTGTCTACTGGTGTAGCCATATATGGTTGCTCATCTACTCATGTTAGATGTGTGATGGAGCTGTAAACTGACCAAGGATTTAATCTGCCCATTTGCTCAATGTCAAATGAAAAGCATGCAAAGCTACTACTAATAAAACATGATTTTTATAATACTTTTCTGGCTTTATTTAGCTTGATAATAAAGCAATTAATGTTTTTATTTATTTATTTATTTATTTTTTTACAAAAAACTCTGACTGTCTTATAATCCATCAGAAGCAAAACCAATTTAAATTCCCATTAAGAGAAGAAGCATGATGATTTTACTTTGTTCAGATCTGACACTAAGATTAATCAACACAACAGTTTGAATATGAGAACAAGTAATAACTTTAATTAGGAATTAGGTTTATTACTCACCACACTATTTTCTCTACTGATTAAGTTCAGAAAAAAAGGAATAAACACTACGACAATAATTCCACTCTCATATATGTTTCAGAGAAGGTTAATGACCAGGGAAGGAACTTTAGCCAAATGCTATCCTGGCTGATTAATGACCTGATACTTTGCAGTTCTTTTTATTAATATTTGAGGAGCCTAGAGAAAAGGTTTTACTGCCTCTTTCTAGGTTTAAAACCCAATTTTACCCTGAGATTAGGGCAAATGGAGGGAAAATTAAAAATTATGCTATAGATCGATGGCACTAAAACTCATTTAGCAAAGCCCGCAATGTTCAAACTTTATGTTCAGGTCAGGGTACAGTACATGCAGTAAACTTTTTCTGTAGTTATTAGTCAAATAAATATTGTTTAGAAAAAAAAAAGATAAGTCACAACGACCTATTTTTTTTATCCAGTTAGATTGGTTCAATTATGGTTGTTAAAGCTGACATCTATATATATTTATATAACCATTGGATTTACTTTACAGTTGTTTTTCTTTCTGCTGCTTTTATCGACATAAATCAAATCAAATAGATTTAGGGGAAAGATAATCCCATAAATGCAACATTTCAGGTCAGGTTTTAGGCTTATAACAGGCACAGAGAAACAATACAGAGGAGGATGATCTACAGAGCAAAGAAGGATTGCTCTCAGATGTGAACCATATTGAGAGTGTGAAACCATTAATATCATTACATCTCGGTCCTGGTGTATCGGATTACAAAGAAGCTGGGGTGCCATGCTACTATATCAAGGGTTTTTGGACTGTATTCGTTTCACTTGCTGTTGGATTTTTGAGTGAAATATAGTTGGGTTGGTACAGGGTAAAGGTGCAAAAGCTGCAATTGATCCAACACAGGAGATGAGGCAAAAAAACAGAAAAGCGTATTATTTTAAACAAGACCACTCAGCCACTTGTTTAAATTTATTGTTTTTGTGACAACTAAACTTTACATATCAAGCATGTTAATGTGATTCCACAGAGGGAACTTGTTAGTATTGAAGCTTAAAATTGTTGCAGGCAAATGTGGCAAATGTGGCACTGCTTATAAAAATGGCTAAGGGTAGAATCAGAAAAGTGTGTTAGACAAAGGCCTCCACTTCCCTTTATTCAAACTGTCCTAAATTGAATCAAGTAAAATAAGTTTCTTTAAGAGGACAATAATTAAGGGTTAATTTGTTATAGCATTTGTTTTCAGTAAAAATCCTGTTGTTCTGTGAGGGTCTCAGAGGTTTCTGAGTGAAACTTACTTACTGTAAACAGCAGTATAAAGACCTAGAAGCATAGCATACAGTTTAACGATGAAATTTGGGGTATTTTAAAACAGGTTTAGAATATAAAACAGTAATTTAAGTCTTAAAAATCTTACAGTAGTGCTGTTAATTCTGTTATAAGAAAATGGAAAGGTTTATTTTTGCTGAAATCACAGTTTCTGTCATGATTGGTTTAATGAACGAAAACCCACATGCAGAACACTAATGGAGACAGAGGAAAGTTTAACAATGTTTATTTGGGAAACACACACAGAGTGAATCAGGAACTGGTTCTGGTGCAGGTCCGGGACTGGTTACTCTTATATCTTGAAGAGGTTCTAACAGATCCTTTGAGAGGGGGAACCGGTTGGGGCCAGAGACTGTGGAAGTAGCAGAGAGCTCAGCAGCAGCAGCGTCTAGCTTCTAGCCAGAGAGTTTTCGGACTTGGGTTTGTTTCCTAGCTCTTCCCAGAGAACTGACGGAGGAATCCAGACTGAGATCTTCAGGTTTGGCTTACGTGGGCAGGCAGGCAGATTTCCAGGTTATGCTCATCCAGAGCTTCGGACTTCAGTCGGGTTTCTGCAAGCAAAGAAGACAAGAACAAGTTAGAAGGCTAGTTTCTCTCAAGAGGCAACTAGTATTCACCAGGATTTCAGAGGCTCAGGTTTGCTAACCAAACTAGGTCAACACTGCGGCGTCGAAGGCAGGTCTGACTGCTGCTTATGTAGGGAGGTCTTCTGATGAGCTGATGATCCCCAGGTGTGCTGAGGACTCCAGCTCAGGAAGCCCACAGCGCTCTCTGCTGGAGACAGGTGGCAGATCTCCAGATCCCGACAGTTTCTGACTTTTTGGTAGAGACAAATGTTCATAGTAGAAATTAAGCCATTTGAAAAAACATCTATGCATTTCATCATCAAGCCTTTTACTTTCACAAATAAATGTGTCAGATTGTCAAACTGAATGTTTTTTTCTTTTCAAAGAAGATTCTAAATATAAACTGCAAAATGTAGGTTACATTCAAAGGGATCTAAAACCCTTTTATTGATATCCTGATTCTCTAATTATAGTCCTAAAATATTTCCCTAGAATCTTTTTATTGTTTGCTGACACTGTTTAAACATTGCGAAAGTCATAAAGTACAGGCACTGTGGTATATTTTAACATAGACAAAAGGTCTGATTAGCTGACAATCAAGTACACTATATTGCCAAAAGTATTTGCTCACCCATCCAAATTATTGGAATCAGGTGTTCCAATCACTTCCATGGCCACAGGTGTATAAATTCAAGCACCTAGGCATGCAGACTGTTTTTACAAACATTTGTGAAAGAATGGGTCGCTCTCAGGAGCTCAGTGAATTCCAGCGTGGAACTGTGATAGGATGCCACCTGTGCAACAAATCCAGTCGTGAAATTTCCTCGCTCCTAAATATTCCACAGTCAACTGTCAGCTGTATTATAAGAAAATGGAAGTGTTTGGGAACGACAGCAACTCAGCCA